CGGAGCATGGCCCTGCCCACCTGGATCTCGGGCTTCTGGCCCCAGAACTGAGCCAGGATACGTGTCTGTGTCACAGCTGCCCCAGGGCCCTCACACGGCCCGCCGGAGCGGAAGAAGCGGCCCTCACAGACAGCCGCCCTGGAGGAGAGGGGCCAGCGCTGGCGGCCAGCTCCAGGGCCCCCGGAGGCTGGGCCCACAGTGGGGAACAGCCGTGGGACGCCGGCCCGCTGAGAGGCCCATCTCAGCCCCAAGCTGGAGGACCCTGGGCAGACGGGGAGGTGGTGGCCCCCAAGCCTGTGGGTTTAGGGGAGGCTTACAGCGCCTCGGCCGACCTGCACAGTCCTCCTGCAGGGGCGAGGCGGCCGGGCGGAGGGGCCGGGGCCGGAGTCCGCTCACACCGAGGCACAGCCACGAAGCCGCAGATATAAAAACTTCTCTTCAAGATCCTGAAGGAAACAGTAACCAAAGCAGCCGGCGGAGGCGCTCAGCCGTCAGGAGGGTCCGCGCCCCACAGTCCGGCCGGGCCGCGCGACCAGCTCCGGGGAGGACCCGCAGCGCACGGGAGGGCGGCCGGTGGCCTCAGCGCGGGCTCGCGGCGCAGGTCCTCCGCCAGCGAAGGGGGCAGCGGCGTCCGCGGGCGGGAAGGGGAGCCTGCGGGCGGCTGGAGGCGGGCTCTCGGGGGCCTGCGAGCTGCTCTCGGGTCGGAGCCGCCGCGTCTGCGTCCGGGAAACGCCACGAGGAAAGGAAGCGGCCGCCCCGCGCCGGGGCAGGACAGGCCGGGCCGCCGCACCTTCCGGACGCACGGGGGGCGCGCTGGGTCGGCTGCCCTCCGCGTGGCCGCGCAGACGGGCCGTGCAGCGCGTTCCATAACGAGCCGGTTAAGATACGGCAAAGGAGCACCGGGTCCTACAGGACGCGCAGGACGTCGCGGGACACGCTGCGGCCGGGCGGAGCCGAGGGTCCGAGCCGCGGCTTTGAAACGGGGCCCGGAACCCAATGACAGAAAGACGTCCCTGTCGCTAAGCCCGGCCGCCGTTTTCACTCAACCCAGACGCGAGGTCGCACGATGCTCCCGCCAGGGCCTCCAGGCGAAGGGCTGGGGACACACGGGTCGTGACGCAAGAACGAGACGGGCTCCGCGGGCGGTGAGACGGGAGGGAAAGCTCCGGGAACGAGGTCGGCGTCCTCCGGGGCGGGGCGGGGACTCGCGGACGGGATGGGGCCAGCGCACACGGCCGGCCCAGGTGGCCGAGTGGGACCCCAGGCGGGCGCCGGGTCAGTGAGGGGCGTGAAGGGCTGACGCGCTCGGAGACCGACGCACCAGGGCATCGGACGGCCTCAGGGCATGGGAAGGTCCCTCAGCGGCCACTCGAAGGTCCCTGCCCTTGCGAATGCCACCAGCTTGAGACCAAGAACTTCCGCTCATCCGCAAACATCAGGGGGGGAGAAATAACGCGGGGCCGGAGCAGAGGCCAGAGCGGAGGCCGCTCAGGTGTAGCCAGCCTGGGCCTGTCTCCCGAACCTCTGAAGGACCCCTCAGCTCAGTAAGGAAAAGAAACGGGCCAGGCCCCGGACAGGCCCTTCCCGCGGAGTTGCTGCCAAGGAGGGAAAGTCCTGGGAAGAGCAGGCCAGCCAGGGGCCAGTGGACACCCACCACAGGGGCCCGCAGGCCGCAGCAACACCCAAGGCGGAGAGGCACAGGGTCGGAAGCAGGGACGGCACAGCTGGTCTCAAGCACCAAGAAATCATCTCCCACCCCCGAGCTCCCCACCTCGAGCCAGGGGCACGTCCCTAGCTGCCGGCACCACAGCACACAGCCCCATGATGGAGACTTGGCTTCCCTGCTTCTCTCTTGGGGCAGGTGAACCTTCTGGAAAGATCCCACACAGAGACGGGCACCCTGGCACTGGTGGTCCTGCCCGGACAGCAGACCCCAGCCACCGTCAGGGAACGGAGGCCACCGTCCACACCAAGTCCTGCAGGGTGGCAGATCTGGTGGCAAAGCAAACATGGTCCCCTGTCTTAGCCCCCTGGTTTGGGGACAGTCCGTTTTCCAGCATTAAATGCCTAGAGCAGGGCTGAGGGTCAGTGTGAGCCGGGAAGCACACGCAATCAGCAGCGTGTACACCTGCACCGAGAAGGGGGCGTGAACGGGCTTCGCACAGACAGCTCAGACCCAGGGCCTCAGGGTCAGCATGGAGGAGCTCCCACATCATATCGACTCAGGGGCCACACCCACACCCCACGCCCCACAACCTGCCCGCCCAGCTGACCCGTCCCAGATGCAGATGGGACACTGGGACGCATGAGGCCACCGCGGGGTCATCGGAGGGCGCTGGAGTCTGTGTGGCCTCCCCACTGCAGAGTTCCCCAAGCGGAGGCAGCTTCTGCTCCCCTGACACCTGCCAGGTGCTCCGCAGCCGTGCAGTCACGTGGGTGTGACAGGACGGGGTCTGGGGAAGCGTGGCCCAGGGCAGGAACTCACTCAGAGCCTGCAGGGAGTGCAGCACTTATGCCAAAAATCAGAGACACAGGCACACTGGCGACACGCTGGGGACATGCACCGACACATAGGACATACTGGGCACATGATAGGGACACGCTGGGGACACACGAGGACACATGGGGACCCACTATGGACATGCCAGGAACATATGGGAGACGTGTCGGGACATGCTGGGGACATACAAGGGACACATGGGGGACGTGTGGGAATATACAGAAACATGCTGGGGACACGTGAGAGTGCCGCACCACAGAAGCAGGAAGAGAAGAGGAAAAGGCTCCAAGTGGTTTTAATGTCTAGGCTCGAAAAAGGTAAAAACCTGTCTTTCCTTGCCATAAACCTAATTAAAAAAAAACAGGAAGGCGGCAGGAAAGTGCTCCTGGGAGGAGAGGCGCAGGCTCTGGATGAGGGCCGGGAAGACGAGTCAGAAACTCTCACTTTTCACACTCTGTGGAAGACCCTCCTCTCTTCAGCGAAGAGGGTCTTGTTTGGACGGCAACTTACAACCCACGGGAGCCATCGTAGGGTCCCTTGCTCGGGCGGGGGGGGGGGGGGTGGCAATTGGCACCTGCAACCAGACTGACTTGGGTGGGATGAGCCCTGGAGACAGCAGCCCGGCTCCATGGGGCGCTGCCCTTCCCTATTCTGCCAGCCCCTGGGTTGGTGGCTCCGGTGGACGCGGCACTCAGTGCCAGACCAGGGCGCCAGGCCGGGCCGAGGAGGACCTGACACTTCAAGGTGCAGCAGGGCCCCCTGCCCCACGGCCCCAGGATCCCCAGATGGCACCTCCCGCGTGCTCCTCCTGCCTCCCTGGCCACATCACTGGCTATAAATAGGTCTGGCTCCCAGGCAGCACTGCCTCTCCCGGAGGAAGCTTTTAATTCTCAGCCTCTCCTGCCCGCAGCGCTCTGCCGCCCTGAGGACAGTCTGGCTGCTAAAAGCCTCCTCTTACATGTCAGCAGTGATGAATGATTTCAGTTTCTTAAGAAATTCTCCCGTGATTTGCCCATTATCCACCGTGAGAATTATAACCTCGTACACAGCGACAAGTTATTTACTGCACGTTGGAAGCATCCAGGAAGATGAGAACATGGCCAGCGCCGCTTCCTCTGATGTCCATCGCTTCGTTCCTCCGGCCCAGGCAGAGCCATTCTACGCAGTGGTACCCGAGTCAGGGAGCCCCCTGGCAATCACCAGAGCCACAGGGCCTTTCCCCAGGAGCGCGCACAGACCCTCTGCTTTCTGCAGACACGCCCAGGAAATTCAGCAGCAGCCCTGCCCCCCACCCCGTCACCCCTCAGGGAGCCGTGTGATTTGGACCATGTGATGGGAGCAGCGGCTGGTACCAGAGCCCAGAGCCGGGGTCATGGAATCCAGTTTAACGCCCCCCGCCCGCCCCGCCCCCCACCTCCGTCAAGGCTGGCTGCTCACGGCCCCACCCCCACTTCCGGCCTGTTCCAAGCCCCCCCCCCACCCAATCACTCCATCCCCTGTGGTCCCTGATCTCGGGATTCGGGTCAGCCTTTACCAATCACCTCCCAGGAACCAGGGGCTGGCCTGGCTGGTGCAGAGGCGCCCCCCCACCGCACCCTCGGGGTCCTCCCTGAGAGCTTGGCCGAGGGGCGCGCGGGGAGGCTGCAGAGTGTGACCGCGAGCCGGGTCCTGTTCCCGCCAGGTGAACGAGCGCATGAGCGCGCAGACGGGCGACGGCAGGGCCAGCTGGCCCAGGAAGGTGCCCGATGGCCGCAGACGCAAAACGCCTGTCAAAATGCGCACGACCGGGGTGTGGGGCACGGATTTTCCTGCGCCCTCCCCCCCCCCATTTCGGGGCTACGTTTGCGGCAGTGAAGCCGCAGGATCAAGGGCTTCTCCGCCTTCCCCCGGAGGCCGGCCCCGCTCCCCAGCGCCGCGGAGGCCTCGGTCGGTCGTGCCCGCGCCGGGAGCCCCTCCGCGAAGCGTCCGCGTTTGGCAGCGCAGGCCCGACGCGCTCACCTGCGGCGCGGACGGGGGCGCGGACCCGGGCGCGGACCCCGCGGGCGGCGGACCCAACGACGGGCCCGGGTCTCACCGAGTTCGCGCCGCAAGACGGTGGCCCCTCACACCTCTCAGCCCCGAGTCCCCGCCCTGTCGCGGCCGGCAGACCCCGGGCCTGGGCAGCGGCAGACGCGGTCCCCGAAGCCGGACGCGGAGGGCTCGGGCGGCGGCGGGGAAAGGGGCTGCGAGGGGCGTCTTCGCCGCGCGAGCCCGACGCCGGGGGAGGCCGCGGCACCTGCGCCCGCCGCCCGCGCTCTCCGCGCTCCCAGACCCACGCCCCCACCGCCAACCCCGGGCGCACGCGCACCGCGGGGAAGCCCAGGGCCGGGGTCGCACGGACGCACCGGGGCCGCAGCCGGGAGGGGGCGCGGCGGGCGCAGGTGGCAAGCGCGGCGGGGCGGCGGCGGGGCAGGGGGTGTCCTGCGCCCGGCGCCCCGGACCGAGCCCAGCGGACCCTTACCTCGGAGACGCGGCCACTGCAGCGGGCGCCTCGCGACTCGGCCGCGCGCGACCGGGTGTCCGGCGTGTGCCCGCGCCCCCGCCGCCCCGGGCCCGCCAGCCCCGCCCCGCCGCCCCCGCCGCCCCGCCCCGCGCGCTCATCGGCCCGCCCCCAGCCCGGCCCTCCCCGCGCGCTCATTGGCCCGCCTCGGCCCCTCGGGCTCCCGCCCCGCCCCCGCCCTGCCCAGCCCCGCCCGTCCCGGGGAGCGCGCAGAGTGCTCGGAGGCCGGTTCGCGCGCCGCCTCTGCCTTACAAGGCCCGCGCGGCGCAGGGGCGTGGGAACCCCGGCGGGGAGGCGGGCTGGGGGCGGGGGGCCTGGGGCGGCAGCCCCTGCCCTTCCCGGAAGCCCGGAGGCCGGCCCTCACTCCCGCGGCCCGCGGCGCGCGCGTGGACCGGCCTGCGGGTGGGGCTGCGGGCGCGGGCGTCTCCGCGGGGACTCTCGGGCCGGGGGGCGGGGGCGGTGCTGGGACCTCGCCGACCCGGCTCAGGTCGGGGCGCGCAGTGGGCCACGCCCTGGGGCTTGGGGGCAGCGGGAACGTGCGGCCCGCGCCTGGGTGGGGTCGGGCGGTGCCGAGCACCCGGCGCCGGACACCGGGCGCCACCGAGCCGCCTTCCCCGCGCATGAGTCGCGGCTGCGTCCCCAGTCCGGCCTTGAGGCCTCGTGCTCCTCGGCTCGGGGTGGGCCTCGGCTGGTGAGCTCGGGGGCAGCGGCCATCCTGAAATCCTCTTCCAGTTTCTCTTTCTCTTTCCCAGCCGACACCTGCGCTCCTTCCCGGCCATGCAGGCTCCTTCCAGTGACGGCAGGGGTGTCTCTGTCTGTGCCCTGGGGGACCCCCTCCAGCGCAGAAGCCCAGCCTGGGCGTGGGGGGTGACTTTAAGGTCACTTCCAGCTTCACTGATGAGCTTCCCTCGGACCTGTCCAAGGGACCACTGCCCCAGCGTCTGCCGCCTCCTCCTGACGGCAGACCCCACCCTCGCTGGCACCCATTCCGGGCTAGGCCCTCCCTCTCCCAGCTACAGAGACCCCTCCACACTCCACAGGCACACCCCCCCGCCCCGCCCCACAGGCTCTGCCTGGCTCTCAGATGGGGGTTCGGAGCCCGTAGGAGTGCAGCTCTGGGTTTCAGCTCCCGTTCCAGCCAGGTCACAGCGCCTGCCAAGACAGCAGAGCAGACTGCAGCGCGGCACCGGAGAAGGAGTCCCATGGCTGCAGAGAAGGGGTGCTGGGGCTGGCTCTCCAGCAGACTACTAGCCCATCGGGCGGGGGGACAGTGAGAGCTAGGGACAGGCAGCCCTTGGTGGCCCAGCCCCATCCCATCCCCACAAATGTCCTGAGTCCCACATGCCTCCTCTCAATCCCTCTGGTTTCTACTGCTCCAAACTGCTGGAAGACAGGTTTGTCCAGGGGTCTGCTCCCCAAGACTCGGGGCTCTGTCCGTTCAGGCTGGGCTGGCCACACGTCCGTGTCCCCCTCAGCCCTCAGCACTGCCTTCCCCGGGCTGTCGTAACTCAAAGTGCAAGGGAAGGAGGGAAAAGTGGCACGGTCCCACGATTGTCCTGTTAGCTACCAGCGCCTGCTGAGTCCACTGTGCGAACCCAGCGCCCACGCCAACACAAACACAGTGCAGCTGGCCAGCGGAGGTGAGCTTCAGGCCTTAGGAGCAAAAAATGCTGAAGGTTCATGTTCTTTGGGGTGGAAAGGCAAAGTGTGAGCACTGGGGAACCCCCAGGAGCAGCTGGGCAGAGCCACAGCCCTGCCCCTACATCGCAGGCTGGCCTGACACCCTGCTTCTGGGCCAGTCCGTGGCCGGAGCTGGGCTTACGGTCTGTCCCATTCCTGGACTTTTACTGGCTGTCCGCAAATGAAATTTGAGCTCACAGGTGTGCTGCTCTCTGAAACCCGTGTAGCGCACACTGACAAAATCACTGACAGGAGTGGCAGAGAAGGTCTTCGCAAGCTGGGAGCTCCCCACCGCATAGAATTGCACCCTGGTCCAGGGGCCACCAGGCCCCTCCTCCAGCCGTGGCTGCTGGGCCAGTGCGCCCTTTCTCGGGGATGCTGCTGCCCTGGGCTCCGGCCCACCAGTGACTCGGGCGGCCTCCGTCTGCCCTCCAGTTGTTAAAACCCGACTCTCAGCAGGAAAGTGTTCACACACCTGTGTGGTGGCCGCAAAGGCATAGTCCACAGCCCGGAGTCATATGCATTCGTGGGGTACTGTGCTTGTCCCCGGGGCTGCTGGAACAAAGAGCCACACACTGGCAGCCAAAATCCTCTCCATTCTGGGGCCAGAAGTCCAAAGTCCAGGTGTGGGCAGAGCTGTACCGCCTGCGGAAGGGGGCAAGGCCGTCCTGCTTCCTGCAGGGGCTGGGGCTCCTGGCCTCCAGTCTCGGCCTCTGTCTTCGCGCGGCCTTCTCCTTCATGGCTCACTGGCTTGGGGCCCACCTGGATAACCCCGCGTGCTCTCTAAATGTATCCGCACAGGCCCTTCCTCTCTCTGGGGGAGATGTGAGTTTCAAGGGGCCGTGATTTGCAGGGGCGGCCTCCCCCCCAGCACAGGGGCTCTTCCTAGCTCTCCTAGGGGTGGCCCAGCAGCCACAGCAGGTCATTGGGAGACCAGCTGTCCTGGATCCCCAGGGAAGTTTCACGGCATGCAGTCGGGAGAACGAAGGACGGGACTGCTGCCCCCACGTGGGCAGGCTGGGCTGGCGTGGGTTCTGCTGGGCTGGTGTCTCCTCGCCTCAGCCACCACAGTCCCATCTGGCTGTCATGGGCTCTGGGTCCTGGGTCTCTGCCCCTGAAGGAGGTCGAGGGCCACTGTGTGCAGGGAGAGGGACATCACAGTGTCCTTATTTCTGGAAGCCGAGCACATCCTCTTGATGAAAATGTGTCCTCGACCGCAGGCTGTCCGAGTCCCATCCCCACGGTCTCCCTGCTGTGGGAAGTCCGTGCGTGGAGTGAAGGCTGCACTCAGGTAGCAATGGGGGGAACTCATGGACCCCAAACCACGACTGGGATGCCGTGCGTCTCCCCCGCCCCGCAGGCCACCGAGCGCTGTGGGAGCTCTCCCTCACCGCCGGCTCCCTGGCCCCGCTCAGAGCACGTGCGGTCTCCCCGCAGACGAGCTTTGCCGGGCCTTCCCGTTCACGCCGCTCAACCGTGGGGAATGGCCCTTAACCCAAATGAGACCCAATGGAGCCTGCATGGCTGAGGCAGCTGGCACCCAGGGGCTGGGGGATGACCCCTGGCCAGTTCTGGGCATCTCGGGGCTGCCCAATGGGCCCCGCTTGGGCGGGGAGTCTTCCTCAGATGGGCGGCCCCTCCAGTCTCAGCTGCATCAGGCTCTGCTCACATGCTGGGGGCAGGCGTCCCGGTCAGGGCTGGCTGCACGTATGGGACCCTGTCAAAATTCAAATTCGGGCCCTCGTACAAAAATTAGTAAGGCTCTCAGGAGGGCAACAGTGCAGTGTCCAGCAGGGCTCGGGGCCTTCCGGCAGCCCCAAGTGCACACAGTCCAGACAGCTGTCCCGCTGTCAGCCGCTCTTGGGACGGAGGAGCTCACCCAGGGGTGCCCAGTGACATTGGGCAGGTACCCACAGCCGGTGTGTGAAGCTTACCTCAGAAACTTGTTTTGGCTTGGGAATTTATCCTTACGATCGTAAAACTGGGGATAAAGTCTTATTTATTCCCTAATTTTTATTCAAATGAGATTTTATTCAAATAAGATTTTTAGGACTTGAGGTCTGTCACTGATTTTGCTTGTAAGAAAACTCCAGAGGCACCAGCCCGCCAAGCAGGGGTGAAGACACGCCACGTCACCTTGGGCTGGGGTTCCTTGAGTCTGAACTCCCCACCCCCCACCCCTGCACTAGCCTACAGAGCTAACCCAGCGATGGGCCACATGGGCGGTGACAGATGCTGGGGTCTTCCTGGGGGCATGTAGTCACTGAAACTAGCTACCTGTGGCCGCGTGCTGTGCTCTGTATGTCCACCTGTGCCTGCCTTCTCTTCTTTCTCCCAGTCCTGCGGGCAGACATTCCGGCACCGAATGCGCCCAGCTCAAATGAGGGCAGGTCCCCGCAGGACAATCCCGCCCCCCAAGTCACCGTGAGAGGCAGCTATAATGGGTGCACCGAGGTGCCTGTGTGAAGGAGGCAGCTTTCTGTCAGGTCCCTCTGGGAGGTCATAGGGTTGCACGAGCAAGTGAAGGAAACAGCCCGTTCGCCACCGTGGAGGTCAGAGCCTGTTGGGGAGCTCCTTCCCTGCGCGTGTGAAAACCTGCGAGAAGACGCTGGTGGCAGCAGCTGTGGCTTCAGAGATTCCAGGACCAAGAGGGGCCGCAGGATCCCAGGACGCTGGCATCAGGGGCAGCTCCTACTTGGTCATAAAACCATCCCCTAGTACAGTCCAGATCTTCCCCAAATTAATCTAAGCGAGTGTTCCGTGGACACAGCGATCCCCGTGCAGGTTCCACAGTCTGCGCAAGACTGTGGCTGCTGTGCCCTCAGTTCTGAACACAGCTGTCCCCTCAAGAATGGTCATCACCTCCCCGCCACTCGCAGGGCGGGGTTCCTCACGTGCTTCTCCACCATCTGGTGACTCAGCGGCTGAGCCTTCGCAGGTCCATCCACTCTGCTCCCGCAACTGCATTTCCAACTCTGGGCAGCAGCATCAAACACGTCAGATTGTCACAGAACACATTTTTGTGTTGAGGTGAAGCGACAGGAATTAGGTGTGCTTTCACGTGGAGCAAGGCTTGCAAAACGCTGGGCATCAGGCAGCAGAGCCCAGGACCCTGAGGGGCGGGATCCCCACCAATCGCCTGGGTAGTGACCGAGCGCTGTGCGGGGAGGGGACCCAGGCAGAGCCTGGCGGTCGCCCCGGGCGAGCAAACAGAGTTGAGAGACTCTCTTTGCCTCTCCGGGAGAGAGAAATCACAGAACAGAGTCCAAAAGAGGACAGGACCCAGAGATCTGCAGAAGCCCCACAGCCCCGCGAGCATACAGCGGGGTCCAGTCAGTGCGCAGGTGGGGAGAACCGTGAGGCTGGACGGGAGCCACAACC